GCACCACCCTCACGTACTTCTCTGCAACTCCTGGCTTCCTCATGCAATACCACAGTTCCCTTCCTGACAGCTTATCACATGCTTCCTTCAGATCCACAAAGACACAGCTCAAGTCCTTCTGACATTCCCATACTTCTCCAATCAACACTTTCAAAGCAAAATTCCCATCTGTAGTGCTCTTTTGTGGCATGAAGCTGCTCACTGATCATTACCTCACTCTTTAAGCTAACTTCAACAACACTTTTCCCCATAGCTATGGTATGGCTTACGAGTTTTATCCCTCTGTAGTTACTGCACACTTGTTCTTAAAAATCAGTACCACTTCTCCATTCTTCAGGCATCTTCTTACGCTCAAAGACTGTGTTAAGCCATCTGATAAAAACGTTCACTCTTTTACTTGACTATATCCAGATCAATTGTACTTACGTGCATAGAGTTTTAAGCCAGGAAATTAAAACCTTTATAAATAAAATGAATAAAAATCCCTAGTGGGTCCACTGGGGGTAGGGACACCAATAGGTGTCAAACTTTAGATGGACTGGACTACGTCTTTGTCTAATGTCAAAGTGAAAAATGTGATTGATCTGTGGCTCAAAATTAATTGAATCATACCACCAAAAAAACTTAACTCCCATTTATGCATATAAGAAGTTGGAAATATCTCATTTAAAACTACAGCATGTTTTTATTAGAAAACAAATAAAGCTGTTAAAATGTTTCAAGTGACTTCTCAGCATCATTAACATATCCCACACTGTCTCACTCAAACACAGTTATCATACTAAGTATATAAAGTCCTGCTTTTGCCTTTTTGGGGAGTCATATTTTTCCTATCCAGATACAACCATCTATCCAAGATGACTCCTGCAACATATCAAGTATTGTAATTTGATTTGATCATAATATAAACTTTTTAGTGGGCATTAGAGTATTGTGAGTTACTCTGTGATTTCCATTCTCCCTCTGAAACAGCACAAAAGCATCTCTCCAAACACCTACTCGGATTTGTTTTTTCGGGAAGTCTGATCTTTTAAATGCTGGACTAAACAGAACTACCTTAATTCCTGACAAGAATGTAATGGGAAATAATAGAAAATAAGTTAATACCTTATTTAAAAAGATTGTTTAATAAAAATATGTTATTAGGAGCACGCAATTCTGCACAGCACCCAAAAAACCCCGTAATGAGAACTAGAAATCATACGTCTATGATTATATCGGTTACCAAAGAACCATCATAAGCTACTGTACTTATTGAAAATACATAATGCACGACATCTAATATGAGAGCGATTTGAAAGATGGTGATAATTGAATAGCCGCGATGCTAAAGCTAGTTAGCAGGCTAACACTAGTTTACATAGCAACCACCGTTGCTAACCACCTAGCGTTACATCTGAGCATCGGGACGAGGCTGACAGCGCAAACCTAATCACCCAGATTCCTACCATTGCTCACGGATCGTTTCCTTCCATGCTAGGACGGCTCTCATTTCCGCTCTTTAACTGAAAAAAGCACCAAAGGCTCTTTTTTCAACAGGTTGCTGCAGTTCGCTTGGTTATTTTTTCACTCTGTACCGTTTCTTGTAGCGAGTAGCTCGCAATGCGCAGACTCGCACTTGCTCGCTACTTCCTGCTTCTGTGTTGACATCAGAAAGTACTCGGGAAAGCAACGTCGAGACAAGAAGATGCACATCTAAAGCCTAATCAGTATTCATGTATGCTACACACGCCTTTGTTAACGTTTTAGCTCTTTGCTGTTGATCTGCTGCCCAGTAATGTCCAGCAATCCTTTTTTAATGTGGCTTTATGTGAGCAAACTGTAGAATGAGCAAACGCCTTGTATGTGTTGTTTTTGTAATTGTCCAAGTAAACATGCACGAACAAAACAAGAACTACAGGTTCATAGTTTAACAATAAAGCCAACGTTTTTTTATTCGTTGTCTTCACTTCAACAGGACTCCAAAGAAACTAAAAATGCATCCTACTAGATGAGATACTGAACTGGAGAGCAGTGTGGACATGAATCATCAAAGTCTCAAAGAAGGGGATATTTTGTGCACTTCTTCCGCATTGCCCCCTGGCTGGATCAGAGAAGTGAGGCAGCGGAAAGCAGGCAAAACAGCAGGCAAACTAGATGTCTACTTTACAAGGTGACTCAGTTTTGTTTTTGTGTTTTTTACAATCTTGTCTCTGTTGATGTTACCTGTAAGTTCACCACAGAAGCCCTTAGATCACCATTTAATTGATTTTCCTGTTGTTTAAGTCCCGAAGGGCAAAGGTTCCGGTCCAGAGCATCCCTACGCACTTTCCTCCTGGAAAGTGGAAGTGGTAACTTAGACATAAGCCTCTTTGATTTCACCACATCACAAGCACCCCCTTCCAAAGTAAAGCAGAGGAGAGGAAAGAAAAAGCCTTCAGAGGGACAGCAGGAGGAAACAGAAAATGGAACAGCAATTCTAGAGGCACCTCCAAATAAATCCAAACAAGCCTCTTCCTCCCTCAGAAGTGATACTAAAAGTGGAAAAGTGAAGACAGCAAACGACACAAATCATATTGATGCTGACACTGAACTACAGAAGACTGCATGTGTATTAGAAGTGAATGTGAATGGAGACAAAACTACTGAAAGTTTAAATGGTTGCTTACAAGCTTTGACCTCAGAAAAAGTGGACAATGTACATCTGCAAAAGAGCCCCCAAAGAGGAGGCCAGCTGAGAGAGAAGTTACTCAGACTGGCTCCTTTAAGTAATCAACTAAACAAATCTATTCTTCAAGAGGACAAGAAAGCAGATTTGCAGCCTTCGGCCCCGATTTTGAATGTTGAACCTGCCGCTGAGAGCGAGAACAAAGGTGATGAAAGCAAAGGTGACAACACTCCTAATTCTGACCTGGAGGCTGGTGGTGACAGTCGTCAAGATGCTGAAGAACATGCGTTGTTACCTGATACCACTGATGGGAGCTGTACACCAGTTCGAGAATCCCAGAATAGTAAGTATGAGCCACACTGACTGACAATTTGTTAAAGTTTTTCATGTTTTTTTGAGCTTATCCAGTGCATTAGTGGTTATTTATGTCTCCCATCATCCTCTATATTTGCAGCTAGAAATTCATAAAAATCAAAGAAACCAAATGCCTTAATTGACACAAAACATTACAAATAGAAAAAAAAATGCATACATTTAGATCTGATAAAGAGGGGGCGAAGAATAATGGTCCATTGTTAGAGAGTGCATCACATCATTAGTCTAAGGGAGGACAGAATTGATTGAGTAATCTTACTGCATTAATGAAGCCATCATAGGACTCCACCACTTTGTGCTCAGCGAATGTATGATTTTCTTTATTGTGTCATTTTATGAGGTACTTAACTTTGGACCCGACCAAAAGATGTAAAGCAGCTTCACTCTTCTAATATCTATAAATGTTTCCTGTCTGCTTAGAGTCCAAAAGCTTGGAAGGCAAGCGGAAAACAAGTCCTTATTTCAGTGGGAAATCCAGCAGAGATGGTAATGTTTAATGCAGGAAACTGTGGATGCTTTTACATCGGACATGTAGATCAACATTCACGAAATAAATAAAGTGTGTAATTTAAAGAAACGTGCACTGTCCTCATTCAGGACTTAGCCCACCGAGGAGGAAGGCCTTCAAGAAGTGGACACCTCCCCGGTCTCCCTTCAACCTCGTACAGGAAACTCTTTTCCATGATCCCTGGAAGCTGCTGGTAGCCACAGTTTTTCTGAACAAAACCAGTGGTAGGATTCAACACACACATTTAATTATTCAGGATGTTGCATTAAACTTTGCTGAAGCCTGGCATTTATTTAATACAGGTAAAATGGCCATTCCAGTCCTGTGGCAGTTCTTTGAGCGTTATCCATCTGCAGAGGTGACCCGGCAGGCCGACTGGAAGCCCATGTCTGAACTTATGAAGCCACTTGGCCTGTATGAGCTTAGAGCCAAAACACTCATCCGCTTCTCAGGTGGATATTCTTGACTGCTAGTGGATTACAGCAGCAACTACCTTTGTGCAGAAGCAATGTCCATTTATTTATATATATTAATGTAATTTTATTGTTCATTTTTGGTAGTCTTTGCATGGTTTTAGTAAGAATATATGAAACAGAAAAAAACCCTCACAACACCTTTTCTCTTGTGTAGATGAGTATCTAACTAAACAGTGGCGTTACCCTATTGAGTTGCACGGTATTGGAAAGTACGGCAACGATTCGTACAGGATCTTCTGTATCAATGAGTGGCGACAGGTGGGTATAATCCCAACTATTTTACTTCAGTTGCTTCCATTGCTCCCTCATTTATTTGCTCTAAATTCAAGTTTAATTTGTTGTTTTTTCGATTCTTGTGTCAAAGGTAAAACCTGATGATCATATGCTAAACAAGTACCATGCTTGGCTGTGGGAGAACCATGAGAAACTGGGAATCTGAAGGACCAGAAACAAGAAAATCACTTCTATCACACAAACTGCAGTTACCCAACAATATAACAATATTAGCATTATGGAGGACTTGAAATTTTAATCGTGAATTTCTTCAATATTATGCAGTATTACGCTGGCTAGCCTTTAAGAACTTTTACTATGTGTTGAATAAAATGTTTTAAGCTGGTTAAAAGTTGAAATGATTCATGAGTGGTTTATTCAGCCTTCTCGCCTCAGGCTTTCTACATAGATGAGATCCAGGGACACCCCCTAAATATAGCTATTGGCACAGTCTAATCTTTCTTTATGAGTGCATTGATGCGTACCACTTAATGCAGCAGCTTTCTTTTGATAGGGTGTAACTTGATTCCCAAGGCAACTGTTGCCACCGCAAAACACTAAACACATACATCGGTACGTCAATATAATCTCTAACTAGCACCACTATAGCAATCCGGTATATTTAAACTTGGATTTGTTTTTTTTGTGTGTTGTTGCATGTTGATTTAATGCTAAGGCAACTACGCCTTTAAGAAGAAAAGTAGAGCTTTGAAAGTTTCATTGGACTCCTCTGGTGTGCCAACAGAAGTGTGAAGTATAAGATGAAACTACGTAAGGAGAGATTTTGTTTTCCATTTGTTGTCCTTTTTTTAAGTATTACTGGTTTTATTTAAAAGTATCTTTTAATTCTTTAATTCTGTTCACTTCTTTATCCTCACAGCAGCCATCTCCATAGCTCCCACGCCAGTCTGTATTCCTCGCGCACCTCCTGTCCGGCAAGCTCGCTGCCTGGTGGATACAACCGTAAAATTTCCCGTAATTTCGGACTCCGCACAGTTTTGGAAAAGCAATCAGGTAAGCAGAGATTTCTTAATTGTGTGGTTTATCATAGAAATAGATTGTTTAAAACAACAACAAGAAAAACCAAACCGATCCATAAATATGCTTCTTAGAGTATTCCCAGATTGAACCCTTTACACCCACCATTTGTTCATAAACGGACTGTCAGTCTGGAGACACCAGATGTTCACCAGCACAACCACCAGAGGACACTGATCATGCAGAGAAAAGAGCATTACAGGTAGGTGCACTAAATCATTTCACTATCACTGAATCACTTGTGCCATTTCCCTCTTTCCTTTGAAGAGCTGACTTCAAAGACAATGACTGAAAGTTGCTGTGTCAGATATCATCAGGTATGGCGAAAACCCTTCTATGGAACCAGCAGTGAGAGAGAAGAGTACAGGTAAAATAGTGGAGGATACCATTGACCTTTTTATATTGAAAAACAACAACAATTGTTTCTGGCAAAGAAAAGCTGCTCTTTTTTATCTCCGTAGGAAGGAGTTGCGAGAACAGCTGAAGAGACAAATAGAGGAGAAATGTGCAGCAATAAAGCTGCAGCTGGCCAATAAAATAAAGGAAGCGGAGACTCTCCGAGAAGCAGACCGCCTCGATCTGGCCAGTGAACGAGAGCAAAGGATCCAACACAGCAAAGCAATGGCGGTGTACAGAGATGAGAACAAGAGGGTACAGCCCCACACATACATTATATATCCACTATTAATGCTTTTGTGGTTATGGCCCCATCCGGTAGTGCCCTGGAAATGTTTCATCATGCTCTCAGGTTACAAAAATACAGCGAGTGTCTGAGTGTGGGTGGGGGTTTTTTTTTCCTTCTTGTTTCTTTCTCTGCTCGTGAACAGCTAATGGAGCAGAGCTGGAGGGACAGAGCACTAACACGTTCCCAGGAGGCCCTGAATGAAAGAGAGCTGCTGCGCCTCAACCCCATCAACTGGAGTGGAACACTGAAATAGGTCAAACCTCCCCAGGAGGTCAAAACGTCAGACTTAGGCCTCACTGTAGCATGTGTGTCAGGTGGAAAAATGGGATCCCAAATGTACAGTGCAGAATCACTAAAGGAACTAATTTTAAAACATTTTGGATTACATACAGTCGTGTGAAAAAACGGGTACACAGTCTTTCAATTCACAGTTTTTGTATCAGGTCATTAAAAAAACAAAATCTGGTCCTTGGCAAATCTTAAAATTAGGTCAATACAACCTACATATCATACAATGTCATAATTTATTTAAACACAAATTCAGACAAAATACAGAAGCAGTGTTTTAAAAACTTAGTACACCCTTATTACTTCTATAGGAATTCAGAAAGTAAGCAACACTATTTGAGCTGATCAGTTTCCTCTTACTTTATTGATAACCAGGAAGCTTATCAAAAACAATTTGAAGTCCACCAGTATATGGTGATAAAGAGTATTCAAAAGTTTAAAACACTCAATACCGTCACTAAGCTTTCCAGAAATGGATGTTCCAAGAAATTCACCCCAGGGTCCAACTGCATAACACTGAGGAGAACCTGTCAAAAACAAAAAGGCTCTGCCTGTCTCAGTTCTCATGTTAAATGTTAAAGTTCACAACAGTATAATTAAAAAAAAAAAAAAAAAGACTGAACAGGTATGACTTGTTTGGAAGGGTGGCCACATGAAAACCAAACATCACTGGTACAAACACTTCATACCACCTGTCAAGCACCATGTTGTGCAGCCACAGGCAATTTGCAGTCATTGAATCAAGCGTGAACTCCTCTGTATGTCAAAGTACTCTAAAGTCAAATGTGAAGCCACCTGTTTGACAGCTAAAGTTAAGGTGAGCCATGTGAAAGGATAATGATCCCAAGCGCAGCAGCAAATAAACCAAATGGCTGAAAAAGAGAAGAATTAAGGTGTTGCAGTGGCCCACAGAAAGTCCAGACATTGAGAGCTGTGCATAAATAAATGCCTGCAAACCTCAATAATCTGCAGCAAAGACGTAATGAGTGGCACAAAATTCTTCTGACTGATAGAATCACACAGAAAAGCAGTTGAAGTTATTGCTGCTGAAGACGGTTTTACAAAGGATTCAATCAAAAAAAGACTTCAGCATTTTTACTTTGTTTTTTGTCTGAGGTTGTAGTTACATGATTTATGGAGCAGATTATTTTGTATCATTACATCCTGTAAGTAAAACCTTAGAATTGAAAGAGCGTGTACTTTCTTTTTAACATCACTACACAATAACAATGAGAACCTTTCTAATAAAAACACATTAACTAATGCCAAGAGTTTATCTCAATGATGAACTACTCCCGATTTCCCTGTCATTTATAATATGATGCAAACATGGAACTCTGACAAAGATCAAATAAATAAATAAACAAAAACAACAAACAGTGCCAGACTTTTTATTGTAATGCAAACATCGCTAATGAATTTTGACTCTGGACAACATTCCACACTCGGAAAATCATCAAGCATAACTTAAAATAAAAATAAATAGATAATTGGACGGATAAAAAGTGACGCTCTATTGAGTGGCAATCCAACATGATTCTAATGTATCTCCCAGAACTACAATTTAACTCTTAAAAATATATGCTGATAGCACACACACACAAGTATAAAGGAAATATTAATAAAATATGACAACATAAATATAACTTCAAAATAAAGGCAACACAAAACGCTTGTATGTAGAATAGAGCTGGGTCCTGTTCCAGGAGGTTTAGAAAACTGAGTTTAAAAATGAACTCCGAGTTGTTTATCTCTGAAATAGGCAACTTTGAAGTTTACCGCAAGTTCATTTAACTCTGATGACAATAACCCCAAGTTAAACGCCCACATGAGTAGAAAAAGAAAGTAACCGTCAGTTACACTCTGATAATGCAATATTCCTATTCATGTGGATCTACACAGCATTTTTATCCGTTGTTTTCAAGTGTTACCTTTTGAGAAAGTGCCTAACTGGTTCTGCAGGGCATGCGCTGGCATGTACCCAGTGAAGGGCACGCCATCACTGGGTACATGATCAAATGATAGAAGGTACCACAAAGAAAATCAAGCAGCAGTATAATTTGTTGTTTCTTTGCTAGATTTATTTTTCAGTTTTGCACAGAGTAAAAATACGGTGCAAAGTGAGACAGTATGTGTGTGTCATAACTGTCAGATATTACATTAAAAAAAAAAAAAAATGGTATCCCAATCTATGGATATGTCCAAACTGAAACTGAGAAACTCTTCCCAGACAGCTAAAATAACAGTGAAATAAAACTGAAACAAATAAGCTTAACTTGTTCCTTGTTGTATTTACTTAGTTGCAACTATATTTAGCTTGTTTATGCTTAATGATGACTCTGTAAAAAGGCACAATTTACTGTCTCTTACACTAAATCAGAAAATGTTAGACTATTCAGCATTGCTGATGGATCCACTTCTGGTCACTACTGCTATCTGGGTACACGCAGCGAGACTGGTTTGGGCCATTTTCAGTGGAAAATATGTTCAGGTTCAGACACCAAACTTTAGAAACTGTCTTTCAAAACGATGACAAAATTTCATGACCGAACAACAATATGTGGAGCAAGTCGCTTTAAAATATGTTTAATTGCATTTTAGTGCCCTTTAAAGTCCTTGCAGCCTCATTTTCACTTGATTACAACATGACAAATGTGATCATTAACCAGCATCATGTGTCTAAAGCTTTATACAGATTAAAATGATTTAAACAATAAACACCCATTGTTTTAGGAACATTCAGTGGAGTTCAGACAGGTTGACAGCTACAGATTTTATTCTGACGTCTGCAGGATAATTTGCTTGGCTCTGACCTTTAACAGTGGCCTTTTGAATGAGGAAATGAAAAGTAGTTAACACTATTTCTAGAACTGAAAAAACGTTTCTCGGGGTTAACAAACTCAGCACTGTTGGCTTAACCTGCTTCCTGTAACAGGATCCTGGTACTTAAATAAGTAATGTTGGTGACCCAGCAGCTATTAAAAAGTTATCTTCCATGCCAAGTAGGACAAATAAATACATAGGGTGCTGTATCTTTCATTTCCAATCCTATTTATCATGCATTATTATTACAAAGAATTATTCTGGGACAAAGAGGTAAAAAGTTATTCTGTGAACATAAATAAATGGCTGTTCTTAATGTAAATATCCCAGAGTTTTATGAGTGCTTCACTGGGGGAATTTGGGAAATTGTGATATCTCCATCCTACCCAATGTCCCACAGCGGTAAGTTCAAGTGCATTAGTAACCTGACACACTCACAACTCATGTGCCATTCAAACTATGGGAGGGAGGGAGAGCTGAAATGGGGAAAACGCAGATGGACTTCATGAATAGAGTAGATGAAAAAAAAAAAAATCTTTTCAAGAGAGACAAAGACCAGACATCATATCCAAATGCATAAGATTTTCACAATCAGTAGTGGTCTTTATGTCACCCTTGTTCCCAACACAGCTGAGGTAGGGAAGTAAGTTCAGTTCCTTTCCATCAGTGCAGTGATGCTTCGTTACTCCTCTTAAAGCTTCATGGCTTCATGTTCTTTAAGTTCTCCCTTCTTCCCGTGTTATGCAACACATACACATAAATTAACCCACGCCCTTTAAATTAATTCCCCAGTCACAAGTAAATCCCTGAAAATCTAGCATTGCAAAGCTAGTTTCTTGCCTCAAACTGATTCCTATTTACCCAAATTGACCAGTCTTTTTATTCAAGCTACGGTCCAATGCAGTCTAGCGTCCCTTCAGAAATCCGTCCAGCATGTAGTCTCCCTTCTCAGTCAGCCAGTATCCAGCCATAGCAGCCACACCTCCAATGAAAATAGCTGTGAAGACCATGTCACCCTTGGCAGCAAGGGTGGCTAGGGCACAGATTACCACTCCAAAGAACATCTGTTGCAGTACAAGGACCTCATCATCTGTCATATCGTCAAAGAGTCCCTTCTCTGGGCCAGCTGAAGAGGTAAAAGGAAAAGAAACCAAGAGGTCTGAAAAGCTGTACGCTGCATGTGTGTGTTTGCATATTCCTTATGGCTTTTTCTTACCAGGAGGTTTATTTTCAACACAGATGCTGTCTCTTCTGATAAAGCCATTAGCACAGTCACAGTGGAAGGAGCCCTCCTCATTTATACAGGCCTCATTGAGTCCCGGGCATGCTATGGCACGTTCACTACATTCATCTATATCTGTAAGAGGACACAAAGAAAACAAGTTTAAACACATCAGGAAAAGAGAAAAGGAAACTGATGTTGAGATTCAGTAGCCAGTTTGTGTATACATACCAAGACACTTCGCTCCCTTCAATCTGTAGCCACGCGCACATTTTTTACAGCGGGCAGGACCACTACCCATGCAGCCCACACATGCCTGGTCACATCCTACAAAACGCCAGAAATGCAGTGGTCAGCATTACATATTGCTATAATAAACATTTTTTTCACCAGGAATTCCACTGCACATTTATTAATTCATTTTACTGTAAAAGTAATGAGGCTTTGTTACCATACTTGATAAATATCTTCGCCCTTTTTTCAGTTTTTTCTTACTACTTAAAATAACTTGTAGTCAACAAGTGAGGTTAGATCAAATAAATTACAATTACAATATTACAATTGTAACCTCTTTGGGAATCCCACAAATTCCTTTGTGGAAGAAAAACTCTGTCCTACACCACCTAAAGAGAAACAACAACTAACCAGTAATTGGACTAAACTGTTTTGCATTTCATATTCAAATTAAGATGCGTTTGCAAGGTGCAGTCACCAGCCACGATGTCAGGTACACCCGTTTAACTGCTTATTAACACAAATCTCTACCAATTACATGGCAGCGACTCATTTCAAGCATGCAAACAAGTTCAACCAAAGCATCAGAATGGATATGAAAGGTGATTTAAGTGACTTTGAATGTGGCATGGATATTGACGCCAGCCTGGCTATGAGTACTTTACTGATCTACTAGCATCTTCCTACACAACCATGTTTACAAAGAATGGTCCAAGAGAAGAGAAAATATGAGTGACAGTTCTCTGGATGAAAATGTCTTGCTGATGCCAAAAGTCAGAAGACAATGGCTGGAATACTTTGAGCTGAAAGGAAGCTAACAAGTCACTCAAATACCCACTAATTCCAACCATCTCTGAACTCACAACACATCAGACCTTGAACTAGATGGGCTACAGCAGCAAAAGACCACACCTGGTGCCACTGCTGTCAGCTGAGAATGAAAATCCAGACTGCAATTTACACAGCCTCTCCAAAGTTGATCAACATAAGATTAGAAAAAGGCTGCCTGGTCTGATGAGACTCAATTTTTGCTGTGACATTTGAATGCAAGGACTAGATTTGGCATAAACAACACGAAAACATGGATCTATGCTGCCTTGTACCACTGGCTCAGGCCACTGGTGGTGTAATGGCAAGGGGAATATTTTCATGGATCACTTTGGGCCTGTGCATCGAGCATCGTTTCAATAGGATAAAGCACGATGTTACAAACACGTCAGTGAGTTAGCGGTACTCAAATAGCCTCCACAGGCATCAACCCAAAAGAACAACTTTGGAATGTGGTGGAATGTGAGATTCCC